GAGGAAAGCCTGTGTGTGTCCTATGCCTTAGCGGACAGCATGAAACCCACAAAAAATACATAAATAATAGAGAGAGAATAATAATAACAACAGTTATTCTCTCTATGCTATTTTTCAATGTTTCAAGTGATGCAGGTGTTTTTTTCCCTGTAGGTTTTTTTTCAATTAAAAAAGCATTAATTTTTCATGTTTAGTGAAATTATTTGGTAGTCTGAGGTGGGATGGGGATTCGGGAAAGTGCGGGAGGGCAGATTTTTAAAAATAGATTTAAAGGGGGGCCCGACCAAAAAAGTTTGAGAACCACTAGTCTAAAGTTAACGGACAGTGTTTAGTGCAGTCCACATGTTTACATGTTTATTACAGTGACTTTGAATTACCTAAAGTAGTGTGGTAAAGCAACAGATTTGTTTTTATATTTCTGCAGTCTACTTTAGTTTGTGTGATTTGTTACTGACTTTCATATTAATGTTTACACCAGGCTTATTTGTCAGTGCTTTATGTTGTCATAATTATTACATACAAGGTTGGAACAGTTCAACAAATCAGTCAATATACTGTGATTGTAGTCGTTAAATAAAAATGTCATTCATATCAATTCATGCATCACCTAATTTCATCGTAACATAGACCTGGCCTACAGAAAAGAACATTTATGTTTAATCTATCTAATATTGTGTTGGTCTTACTATATTTATAGCTCGTCTCTGTTGAATAATACAGAACATAAATAGCTTTAAAAAATAATTGCATATTAAATTGCAATCGCAATATTGGTAAAAAAAAAAATCGCAATTAGATTATTTTCCAAAATCGTTCAGGCCTGTTTGTCAGTAGTGTAAAGACATGCAGTGTTTCCTGTGTGTAATCCGGATGATTCTCTGGAGGGAGCAGCTGTTCCGTGGTTGTTCCTTTTACACTTCCTAGATTACAAAACAGTGAGATTCCTAGATTACCAAACCTATAAATGCTAGTGTGTTTTAATTACTCACCCAAGCCAATTTTTACAATAATTTGGCACTTTGCAAACCTCAAATTCACACTCTGCTTGGAATATAGTTGTATTTGAATTATGTTTCAACCATAACTATTCCTGTTTTTTGCTCTGTCTGTAGGTGTTGGTCTGGATTCGATCATGCTGATGCTTCTGTCTCCACTTCTATGTCCTCTTTTGGTCTTCATCGCCATCATCACCATCGATATCTCCTCCTCTTCCTAAACTCCAAAACTACAGGCAGCCCTCAAAGTTCATCTGACCCCAGCTGAGAACATGCACTCCTGCTCTCTTCACCTGCTTCACTCCTAGTCTCATTACAATTAAAGCGCAGAGCTTGTCTCACACTCACACTCTCTCTTCCTGCCCGTCTGTGTGAACGTTTGGCCGCGTGTGTTTGTGGACAACACCTCGTCAAGGTTTCTGATTCCGATTAACCCTTTTTCTCTCAGTCTCCTGATACACTTCAGTAAAAACCGTCTATGATTGTGTTATTGTTGTGCTTCTTTCTAGCCTCCTGTTAATATTTCCAACAAGCTGCTTTTCTAAAGTGTCTGTAAGCCATTTTGAAGTCCCACAGAGGTCAAACGGGGAGAGAGCGAGGGCTCAGATCTCCTCTATTCTTAAATATATATGCAGTGGACTCGCATTTATCCACATTGTGCATCGCCAATTTCCTCAAAGTGCGAAATTTGCCACGGTGCCATTTTAAGGCTTTAATGTATTTTCATAAATGCAAATATTTATGTACTATTGACCCCTTAAAATTTATTAAAAACCTGTAATTAATTTGTCTGATTATTTTATAACCCCCATATAGTGACTTGACTAATATACATGCATATACATATGTGTGTGATTTTTAAAAACCTGTAATTATTTATATAAATTAAAACCTGTAGGTAATTACATTAATATATAAATAATTATTATTTGTATATAATAATATACAATCACTTCTAGAAACCTTAGAAAAGAGACAAATCTGTTACATTTGCTTAAGCACCAAAGAAAAGACCACTCTAGGCCACCTTGGAAAATGTGTACTTGTGTCCAAAATCTGACCTAAGCCCTCAAATTACCTGCCAAAAAAAGGCAAGTGCCATGCAGGTTTACATATATCCTGAAATCCAGGTGTAATCTAAAGATGCACGTAGGTCCATCTAGAAACTAGATTTGATCATTTAGATAGGTGTAGAGAACTTGTCACGGGACGAAGAACAATCCTGAGTTTTTCAGTCACAATGGGTACATTTCGAATCAATGTCTATTATAAACGTACAGTGCCTGCTCATCTGTATTCATTCTTTCCTTTTTGTATGTTTCTTTGTCTTTTTTTGCTTTCCCTGCACCCCCCAGCCGCCTTGTATCAATAAGACTGTGCCCTTGCATGACTGTTAAAAAAGCTTTCTATACAAAGAAAATGGAAGTGCCACCTTGCTGGGGATTCCGCTATTGGACTCTCAGGTTTTTGTTATATCCTACCTTTTGTGGTCTCATATTTCATATATAGAGTGTAATCGGTTCAAAAAGAAGAAAAAAACGTTTTGTTTTGCTTGTTCATTTCGGTTGCACTTCTTTCAAAAGCCAGGTTCCTTTCAGTGTTTGGAGAAAAAATATTAATAATCGAGATTAGCTTTTTAGATGAACTAGCTCGAACCAGAACGTCAGGTTTAATTCCACGTGGAAATTAGGCGCCTCTAGCCATGGAAATGCACCTTTTATTAAACCATTTCAATCAGAGGATACTGTCTGCTGGTGAATGAATAACGTGGTGCCTCGAAATGCAAGTCTACCTGGAACTCTACGTGCGATAAGGCATACTCTTGTGAAATTATACAGCACTTGAACGTTTGCGAAAATGGACGTCTAAGACATTAAGTTATTGATACTGGTATGCGCATATGTGCATGGCTTCAGCAAGTGTTTCTTTCCCACACTGGCTTCCTCCTTTGGTTTACTAACCCTACATTACTTTTGCCTATACGCATCTGGGA